CAAGAGAGCATGTACACAACAGGAAATAAGCTCTGTGTGTGAACAGGAAGAAGGAAGTATTTTAGAAATGGATGATTGCAGAATATGATACACTATCATTCTGCAAGTGTCCCGGGAGCAGCTAAATTGAAGGCAAATGTGGAAGGTAGTATAAACTCCCATAGATAATCTAGAGGACTGCTTTCAGATAAATTGGTTGAAAAGTTAGACTCTTCTCTGTCAGAAACATAGCCCTAAATGAGCAAAGGTTAAAAGAAGCCTCATTTGTTTGTAGTTGTAAAGCATTGTTTTCAGCCGTGCAGAGCCTGTGGCCTTCCTAGCTGTTTCAAGGCAGTTATCTCTGCTATTCTTTGAGTTTTAAGATAATTGAAATTCACAGTTTTGAAAAAAAGAGAGAAAAATAAATCACTTACGTTACTTCTTTCTATTACACTTATTTGGTTTCTTTGGGCATATCTTCATGGTCAGTTTTCTTTCAGTGTGCTGCTCCTAAGTGAAAAACAGTTTAGCCACATCTGTGATTGAGTGCTACTTAGTCCACCCAGAGCATCGTGCAGATAAGGCTGCATTGCTTCTATTTTAGGAGACAGCCCCTACACAACAGGTTTAGTGAAAGATATAGCTTTTGGTAATTTTGTCGATATTGCCAGTAACTAATCAGAGGGCAAGAAAATAGGCCTTATAAAGAGAGGCTGAGAGCCATGAGACTTTTCAGTCTGGAAAAGCACAGGCTTGGGGGGGGCCTGGTGGCTGCTTATAAGTACACAAGGGGTGTTCATCAGGATCTGGGGGAATGTCTGTTTACCAGAGCGCCCCAAGGAAGAACAAGGACCAATAGTCATAAACTCCTACAAGACCATTTTAGGCTGAACATAAGACATTTTTTTACTGTCCAAGCCCCCAAGACCTGGAATAGACTCCCTCCAGAAGTGGTGCAGGCACCTATGCTGGACTCATTCAAGAAATGCTTGCATACTTATCTTGCTGGGATCATTTGACCCTAGCTGATTTTCTGCCCCTGGGGCAGATGGCTGAACTTGATGATCCTCAAGGTCATTCCAGGCCTAATGTCTATAAAACCTATAAACTATTAGGGGAGTGATTGTCAACCAAGATGCCACAAGATCCTTAAGGTTGCCACACAATATCAGCAATCTTGGGTGTGCAAACACTATGGATTTGTATTTGAAATCTCTGGGTTTATTAAAACATTCTGACCTGTTGTGGTTTTTCCAAGTACTCTGTAACATAATTGCTGTGTTATTTTTCCATTGTCAAGAACTGGGTGAAAGCTGAGAGTTGGCATTTTCTGTGGGTGCCCTGAATCTAACAAGGAGTCTTAAAAAAAAGGGGATGAGAACCACTACGTTAGGGTCTCCGAATGCTTCTTGTACATTACTCTTCTCCCATAAACAGGGTGGAAGTGGTTCTTTCTGTTCTAAAAATCATGTGATGGGCTTGCTTCATTCCTTATAGTAGGAATATGGGTGCTTATACATATGCTCAGAGGTGGGAGGGGGGTATTTTAATTATAGTGGTTCCCAGAGAACTGCTCTCATTAAAATGCCACAGCATCATGTGTATTAAACCCCCCACACATTTAAAAATGGCTGTGCGATGCTTTAACTAAAGCTCATTCAACGAGTTGAAGCACCCCAGCAGCCATTTTCAAGCCTGCTGGGGCTTATACACTTGATGCTGTGGCAATGCCAGAGTGTTCTAATTAGAACATGGAGCAGACTCAATTAACAGTCCCCTCCGACACGTTCTAATTACAACATGTCAGAGTACATGTATAGGGACCCATAAAATGTGGAATATTATGACAGGATGGTGAGGGCCTAATGTGAAAAGAAGCTGAGAACTCTGACAAAGATGTGGGAAGAGCTTGTACCCGAATTCAAAATGAAAAGAATGAACATTGGGAATTATGGAAACACACTGTTCATTCTATAGAATAAGAAGCTGTGATTACAGGACTAGTATGGTAAGGGAGCTCACTTTCAGCAGTTTTATTTACACTTCTAAACAGTGAAGCAAGGTGATGAAAGGCAGAAAATAACAACTTCTGAATACCGCTAACAAGTTCACTATATCCTGTGCTCTTTATTAAGGTTCACTTTTAAAGCTCACATAGTAAGTTCTCTCTTACAGAGAATACTGATCTTTAAGTTTTGAAAGGGAAAGTTGTCAAACAGTTCAAACGCACAAAATTATCACCTACAAAACATGCGAGTAGTAGGGCTGTGCGAAGCTTCATACCCTGTTCGATCAGCGGTCAAATCTCCAAATCAAATCAGAGGACCCTTTAAATCTCTCCAAATCAAATCGGAATCCTCAGAATCAATTTGGAGATTTGGACATAGAGACAGTTTTAATGTTTTTTCTACATACCTCTAGGTAGCAGGGGCTCATGGATGCTGTGATGCATGGAGTATCCCACAGAAACACGTGCGGGGGACTCCCCGAAAGAAACGGGGGGGGGGGGGGGGGGGGGTCCCCAGTGTGCTCAGCAGCATACCCAGAAGTGGACCAGAAGCACTTGCAGTCCACTTCCAGATCTGCCGGAGAGAATACGAGGGGAGAGGGAGGGCGGCCCGCACCCCTGACCTGGCTCAGTGACTGCCCCCGCCCCCCCGACCCAGGAGGCACACCTGGGGTCTCCCTGCACCCAAATTCCGAGCTGGGGAGGCCCAGGAGGGCCCCCCAGCAGACCTGGAAGTACTTTGCTGAGTAGATGGAGGCCCACCCCCCACACTCCTGCAGGACGCTTCATGTGCCTCAGCATTGCAGTGTTCACAAGACATGCGTTACATCAAAGTATTTAGAAAAAACTTTTAAAGCTGTGTCTATGTCCGAATTGCTGATTCTCCAAATCAACATCAAATCTTCAGATCTGGATTCAGCTGGATCAAATCAGGGACAGTGATCCAAATCAACTAATTGAATCACTGTCCCCGATTCAGGTCGAATCCGAATTGAATAGGGCCCACTTCACACACCCCTAGTGAGTAGCTAGAATACTATGCTTTACCCTTGTCACATTTAACATACATTTTTAGCTATTCTTCCTATGGATCCTTAGGGGTGTGCATTTTTAATAATTTGGCAGCTTTTAGAACATATGCTTATGTCTAGGGGGAAAAATACTGAAAAAAGAATCATGGTGTTAAATCATAAAGCAATAAAAGTGCATTTATTCCAATTCCAAACATTAAGTCATGAAATTATTTTGCCACAGAAGATTATTTGAAATATGGTATGCTTCATTCCTGTACCATATACACAAAATATAATAATTTATTGGGAGTGGGGAAGAGGAGAAAAAAAGAAACCAACAACAACAACAACAACTTATTTTTGTGAAGTGTTTTTCTATTCATAAGAGAAGCAACTAAAAGTATATTTGTTTTCAAAATCTATACATTTAATTTTAAATTTCACCCATGGTATGTTTGACTTAATACTGTACAACTTGAGGGCCCATAACGGGATGTTTTTTTCCTAAGGATACACTTTCAAGCCAAACAAAAATCATATCAACAGAAGTCCTTTGATGTGTTAATACAGGAGGTTGGACTACCGGATCAACATGGTTGCTTCTGGTTTAAAAACAAACGAAGAAAAATGGTCTTGTTCTTCACAAATATAGCATTTTTGTAGAAAAAGAAAAAAAATCTGGTATGCAAACATTCAATCTCAACATTTAAAAAAAAAAAAATGATGGAGACTACTATTTCAAAGCAATACTGTGTTTGAAGTCATTTTACAAATAATACTTAGAGTTAAAAGGGGCGGGGGGGAAGATTTTATCAGGAGATCATCAGGATGACCTAGTAACGATACTGTTTAGAGCAGGGGTGGGCAAAATGTGGCCCGCCAGGCCATTCTATCCAGCCTGCAGGGCTTCAAATATTAAATTTTCTAAATTGTTTTAATCTACCCTGGGCTGCCTGTCATGCGGCCCTCGATGACTTGCCAAAACTCAGTAAGCAGACCTCTGCTCAAGATAATTGCCTAGTTTAGAGGTACAAGACAAGGAAATGTGTTCATTCAAAAAAAAAAAAAGGTCATCAGGTTGGTGCTAGAGGCAGGAATAAAGCCTAGGCCACATGAGACCCAATCTCTCTCCCCCCAACCCGGCTTCTAGCCTCAGCTACTACAGGCATGTGCCTGCATTTCTGGAATGAAAAGGGAATGTCTATCCACCTCCAAATCAGTTCAAGCTTTGCAAGTTAGTCTAACTTGCAGAGACTGAATCATCAAATCAGGCCCAGGCTTTTTGGATGTCTGTCCCTAGCCATTTAGGTCACTGCCTCAATGGAAGTTCACTTCTGGGGCAATTCCAAATGACTTGTGTTTAATATTAACTGTTCCTCACCCTAGAACAGGTTGGTTAGTCTATACACTAACAAACACATCTGGACTGAATTGCTGTTCTGGGTTCTTTTCAATTCTCTTGATGGTAAAATGGTTTCCTTCAGAAGGACTTATTAGCAGGAATTAGTCACTGGATTAAATATATGTTTAAGTCAATTATTACAGGGTAGAACTGGACTTTGTTGGAAAGTAGAAGCAATTACAAGGTTAAGGAAAGCATCTCTAAGTGCTATTTAGTGAAGACTCAATAGCAATTAATATTTGTCCCACAGCAGAGAAAAACTAGACACAGTTACCAATAATCATTTAGTAGTCCTCAAAATTAAGTTAGATCTGATGCTGGAGTCCCGTAATTTACTTTTGATTCTTTTACAAAATAGTTTCTGAAGCCAACAGCTCTTAAAGTATCTACTTAAACCTAGGTACAGCTGAATCATTACCATTTTAAAAGGAATGTAGCTGGGATAATGCCTTTAACTTTAGTAGAGTTATACCCAATTATAATTAGTATTGAAGTCTGCCAACAGATATCATAATCAGTAGTAACAATAATTAAAAAGAAACCCAGTGTCCAATCCCCCTGCTTCCTTCCCCCAAACCCTTAAAAACAAAAGGCAAGCAACATGTGAAAAATATTTATATTTTTCCCAACAAATATTTTACAAAGATTTCTTACAATTTAAAAATCACATTGTCATATAGGAAAACTCAGAATACTAAAGAAGATTCATCTCCATTGAAAAGCAAAGTGCTCATAGCAACATTATTGTAGTTTCCATAAAAGTGCATAAATGGTTAACATAAAAGCACTGCATCTGTGCCCACACACCATAAAATAATGCAAAATGGCTTTTTTCAAAGTAATAATCATCATCATTCCCCACTGCTCTTCTAAAGTTGCTTTAAAAGATCACATAGTCTTGGGCTTGTTCCTTTCCCCCCCACACACACCATTTATTCAAAAATACAAACTTCTAAAGTTTAAAAAAAGTAGAAGAAAAATACTTTAAAAAAATTCATAGGTCTTAAGTGGTCCACATAATCATTACATCATTTAGCTTCCATTAAGAAATAAAATCTAATATACCAGGCTTCAGTAGGGTTTTTTAAAAACAAAAACAAACAAAAAAAGCAAACCACTAACGGCTATAGTTTAAAAAAAGACACAAACTGCTTATTATTAAACAAATTTCACAAAATTTGCTATAAATGTAGTGTTTGGCTTATCTTTCTGACCCTTAACACTAACTATTACATAGAATGTTCTCAATATATCTGGTGTTCTTAGTAGAAAAGCCATGCTTCACAATGCTACATTACATTTATAGCTTCTTATACTTAATTAAGTGCTACACATGTGTCATATAATTTTACACTCAACACTGTTCTAATTAATGAATAAGCAAAAACTGTAAGGATCTTTCTACAAAAGTTAAAACCAAAACACGAAAGCAAGAACATATTTTAGGCAAATATCACATTGCTACAAAAATACACCATTTACCCAACCTGTTAGCATGACACTTTAGTCAGTTTATGAAAACATCATCCAGTTCTTTAATGTGGCACAGTATATGGACAGGGCATACCACATTTATAGCAAGGGAAAAAGGAGGCAAAAAAGTCAAGCTTTGGTTAAGCTAATGAACAAAAATCATTTTGACCAATGGACAAATTGCTTGGAATTCTACAGTAGACCAGGTATATACACCAGCTAAAGTGTCTATATTTCTGCCACTGTCAGCTATATCAAGGTTAAAAATGGTTAAGTTAAAGTTATAATGTTGATAAAATATTTGCTACATTCATAAATAAATCACCAGAGTTACACCAGAAAGCATAACTCCGAGACATAATGAGATTAGTTTCCTTTAAACTCAAAACCGGAAACATAGGTGGGTGGATGTTTGGCTGGGCACACTTAGGAGGGCTCCCTTTAAGTGAGTGAGCTATGCCTATGTTAAGATACAGCAAAGCATCTTATTTTGCCTTCCAATCATGCAATTAGAAACATTAAAATGTTGTGCTGAAGAGCAGGGTGGCTGTACTCTGAACCACCTAAACTGTAGATGTATTACAAGATGGTGAATTGGGGGAGGTTGCTTTAGGATCAGGAGTGCTGCAAACAAAGAGCTGCTTCCCCAAGGTTTTTTGAGCAAATCGGAAGTACATGATATGGCCCATTGCAACAAAGGACACAGAAATAAGCACCAGTAAGCCAAAAGCTTCAGGGTTGGGGGCCAAGATGACCATGATAAAATGCATCAGATCAAGAAGGTAATTCATGGAGTTCTGGACACCATTTATAATGCCTCTTTCAGACTCTATCACATTTTCTTGGAGCAACTGTGTGACAGTTAAATCAAAGGACCAAAGACCTGTAAGGAAAGACAGAAACAAAAGGGTGGGGGAGAGCAAACTTAATTATCTTTGCAGAAACTTTAGGTTTTCCCCAAGGGGTCTTCCCCCCCCAAACAAGCACGCTCTTACACTCAATTTAGTGCGCAGTCAACATCTAAAACAATTTTGACCAAACCATTCTCTCATTTGCTTTGAATGGATTTCACACCAGTGTAAGCAAGAGCAGATTTTGGCCCTTTATCATATTTCTGTGGATAGCAAGAACTAGTACAATAATGGAACATGCTAATGATGCACTATACGGATCTTTCCCTTATTAGTGAAAGTATAGAAATCTACCAAATCTGACACTCATAATAAATTAAGCAAAGCAAAATACATTTTTAACTTCCAAGAAAAACTACTCAAAATATTTTGTGCAAAAAGCTTGTGCATGACCATTTTTCTTATAAAGTAAGATTAAAGAGGCATTTAAAATGTGTTATATTGACTATACCCAAAGATTTAGAAATTCTTCACTCAAGGGTGACTTCTGTGCCCTATAAAATGTGTTAATAATTATGTTTTAAATGTTTCTTTTGCAAGTATTTCTAAAGCATACAAATCAAATATTTCTTGTCCCTGCAAAATTCAGCAGAATGACTACAGAGCAGCTATAAGAGCATTAGCAGATGCATGATGGTTACATTGTTTTATTCATGCAAGGATTGTTTTGCCCTTTCAGTCTGTCAAGTTGTTAACTACTAGAACATGTGGAAATACCTCAGAACATCTCATTAAATATTATTCAACATGTAGGATTTAAATTTGATTTTGATTTAACATGTAGCTTTTAAATTTGATAATACCCGACTCCTTCACAACATTATTAAATACCCTAAACATAGTATAAACTCTTAAGATTCCTTCCCCCCCCCCAAAATGAATTTGAGTTGGCAGGATAGATAAGGAAGAGAGCTTGGGTTCAGTAGAAAGGTTCTGCAATTACTAGCATTAAAAATAACGAATCAGACTTTCCGATAGACATTACTTACCAATTCTAGCAGCAATGACTCCTGCAAACAGAAGACTAACAGAGATTAGTGGCACAGACTCAGGACTCATCTCTGGGTCATTGTTAGCAGGAATAGACCCGTTTAACAAGTAGGGAATTCCAGCTTTAAAGGACATGTCAGACTGATCAAGTGGAGATGCAATCTCAGGCAATGGTTCATTGTTAGATAATCTGGCACTGAGGTCAGCAAATGGGGAAACAGTCAAATCCAAAGGACTTCCAGGCATGAACACAGAGATCACACACAAGACCAAGCAAGAAAACTGGGCTATTCCTGAGATGAGACCTGTGCGAACCAGGCCACATTTGCGACGGAGCCAGGTGAAAGCTACTGTTCCCATGATTCCAGTTACAGCTGAAGCCCCCATCAGAAGACTTAGCACAGAGCCACTCAAACCCTGAGTGTATGCATAGCCTGTAGTAATGCAATCAAAGCCCAGTACAGTCATATAAAGGAATGCAAGGCCCATGCCTGCAAGAAACACGGATTGGTTGTAGTACGCAACCCATCCATCACGAAAGGTGATGAAAGGTTCAGCAATCCGGGAACTACAGCTGATTTCCTTCTCTCTCTGGGGCTCAACAACTGCTACGTCTTTGTCAATTATTAACTGCACTCCTTCAGTGGGCTTCAGTTCTCTATCTGTGAATAGAAACAAAAGTGTTAAGTGCTTTTCTGCAAGAAGATGTACAGCATAAAAACCATAAAGCATTGTATTCTCTGGATTAAAAAAAAAAAAAGTGAAGCATCTTCCATTGAAGAGAGGGTTGTCAGTTAATTCCATCAATTAAGTTTCTTCTGGTTAATTAAATTACAAAATCAGCTTTGTTAAAATGACTGTAATATTTCTCATTCTACCCATGCCTATTCTGGAACAATGAAACTAGGTAGTAATGCTAATCTTTACCTGTTTAAACTGCACCTCATTAAACTGATGAGACCCATACAAACTACTCTGTCCTTGCATTTAGCTTCCTGGTAACACCAAATACTTTAAGCAATTGTTTGTGAAGAAATAACTAATTTTATCATTAGGTTTAGCACTTCTGAAGGGGTTTTCATGTTCAAAGCACTTAATTTGCTTTCTCCATCAAATGTGGGGAACTTAATTAGTTTGTAATTATTGTTCCCCATGCAATGAGTAAAGAAAATTAAGGCAAAGAAGTTTGATACCTTTAAGCCACAGAGAAACTGTGATAGAGCTGGAATCCTCAATCTTCTTGATTTCATTCCAGTTTTTCCCAGCTCCCAGCCAGGCTCCATGTGCTGGAGGGCAGAGGGGGGCCAGCTGGCTGGGGCTCAGGGTGCCTCAGTGAGGGGCTAGCCAGAAGGCAGCCCCTGTACTGAGGCACACTGCACCCCAGCCAACCAGGGGCCGGCACATAACAGGGGAGCAGCCAGCCCAGGGATGCCTGCTCCCCCATCACAAGGCACACTGTGCCCCAGCCAGCCACAGAGCTCTGCAGTATGCTCCTCCATCTCCATGTTTGCCCTGGCACACACTAATTTTGTATGCTTTGCACCACCAGGGTTTTTTTTGCTACTGGAAAATCCCAGTAGCAAATTTTGCTTCTGCGCTGCAAACTTAGCAGCACTACACATGTTTAAACGTGCAACACATGTGGTTTGTAGTGCCAGAAAAAGGTTTATGGCCTCACAAACCACACATGCCTGCAAGTGTTGGACATAGCCTAAGCTTTACTGCCAACTACATCCAAGAATAAAAAACAAAACAAAAAACCCTTAAAAACTGAGGAGTGAAAAAAACCAAAAGCCTTCAAAAAAGCAAAGTAATCTATAGGAAAGTAAATCGAAAATGAACAGCTCACAGTATTGTTTAGCGGGTTTGATGGGAGTAAAGGGAGAGTTAGTAGTTCTAGTACCTTTCTGCAAATTCAGTTGTTTCAGTTCAGTTTCCTCAACTTTTGAAACAGATTTGAGAGCCAGAGCAGGGGTTTTCTGGTAAACTTTCCACAGGAGTAGATACTCAACACACATGGAGAGCAGGTTCCAGCCAGATATGAATCCACAGCCAATCACTGGAGAGCCAAAGGTCATTATTTGACCAACTGCCAGTGGTGCCAAGATATTGGTCAACTGGTCAATTCTTCGTACTGTAGCATTCATATCTGTCAGATATAAGTGTTCATATTATCAAATCAGAGTGGAAATACCACCATATTTTCTTGCCTACAACACGCCCCAGAATAAGATGTGCACCTTATTTTTGAAAGGCAGAACGGAAAAATATATTTCAATAGTTCATGTGTATGAACCAAGTTAAACTATAATATATATAATATTCTACAAAGAAATTGCAAAGAAAATACTGTAAAGATAAAATAAAAAACTAAAAAAGGTAGTTTGTATTTTGGGGGTTTTTTTTAAATTACCAGAAGAGTTAATCTTTCTGATGTTCTGCAGATATGGTATTCCCTTAAATGGTAGACACTTTTGATTCAGTTACTGCTACTTGCCTATATTTGGGGGTTATATCTTGAAAGCCATTTCAAGGAAATACAGGCAAGTAGCAGTAATTAGCCAAGGAACAACAGCTAAGGAGCCCAGAATGCTCATTGTACTGTTCCATGTGGAAAACATGCAACATTACTTTCACTGCAGAAACTGCTATTGCCGTATTTCCTCACTTATAACACCGCCCCCCCTTCAATTTCTAGCAGTTGATTTTTAAAATAAAGCTGTGTGTATATTCAAGACAGTATGGTAGTTTTAATTTCCAATTAGATTCCACACACAAACCAAAGCCTGGTTCATATAAGGCCAATGGCAAAAACTCCCATCAAATTTCACTGGATCTACAGTTTGGCCAAACTATATGCTAACTACTAATACAGAAGCCTATGTACCAACAATTTTTACTAGATATAGATCTATTATATATTTTTGGAACCATTATGGAAGTTCATGAAATAAATTCCCATTTTTGTCAGTCTTGCTTAGGATCAGTCTTGTAGGGCTGGAAATACTAAAAAGTGGAAATGTGTTAATCCATGAAAGGGAAATCATGGATCATTGATTTCATAAAATGCCACTATACACTTGTCATAGATACAGCTTGATCCCATCATGGTGCCCATGTGCAACCCCTCTGAAACTAGTGGGAGTGTCATATTTCCAAAGGATAGCACCCTATGAATATGTTCCTGTAATGGATGAGTATTGTTTCTTAAATTATCTGTATAGTACTGAATCACGTATTTCTTGCCCACTTTATTCACCTCTGAAATTATGGATGACCAAACACCACTTACTTAGATAGCAGCAGACCTTTGGTCTGGTTTCAAGTTTCCTTATTGAGGCATACTGCCTATAGTGGTCATCAATCATTTCACAATTTCAGTGAGCAAAGTCCTCTCTGCCTTCTTGTTCTACATTTAGTCTGGAAACATGAGGGAGTGGCCCTTAAATTCCCATCTTGCTGCTAATCCCATCCCCCTCCCCCCCAAGCTGCTAGAATTTATCAGCAACTGAGGGCTGTTCTGCAGTCAATGGAAGTTGGTAGGTGTTCAGCACTTCCGATTATTCAAAACAAGCCACGTACTTGGGTGTTTAAATGTGGATGCTTAAAATCATGGTCTCTCCAAATACAGCCTTTAAAGCTGCAGAGAAAGATTTAGAAGTGCGAGACAAGTGCAAAATAATGTGGGAGGCATTTTCCTGGAACTGTTCCTGTTCATTCAACGCATTGTTGAATTATCCTTTTTGGCTAGGGACAGAAATTACGCATAAACTGGTATAAAAGATCAGAAGCCAGTTCAAATCCGTAACACAACAGAAGTTTAGTGCACATCAACCACTTTCAAAATGGCTGAAACCAGTTTAAAGTAAACCTGGATGAATGTAATATCAGACTTAACTGATTTAGGTTAAATTGGTTTATTAAACGTCTATCCAAGATCCCCTCTAGGTTCAAGTTAACTCACAGTCCCCCAGCATCCCAGGATGCTTTGCAGCTTCCCAGAAACCCCCACCTCCCTCGCAAGGTGGGCGGGCTAGCCTTGGCCCAAACTGTCTGCTCCAGTGAAGCAGGGAGATGTGTTCTAGCATCCCCCAGCTTCTGACCTGGGACACTACAGATATATGGCTGCATTTCTAGAATCAAAATGTCTGTTCACTTGCTTATTGGTTCAATGTGAACATCTGTTCACTTGCTTATTGGTTCAATCTATGCAGCTTAAACTAACCTGCAAAGATTGAATCAATTCAGCCTTGAGCTTTTTGACTGTCTGTACTTAGCTTTTATGTCTAGAGCTAAGTGTAAAATATTTCACAGATAATCAAGGCATGAAGGAAAGGAAATGTATTATGAAAATCTGCACACCCTATTTCTCGAGAAGATTGTTTTGATATCTTAAATGGATGAGGCTTAATTTCATGGAGTTGCTTAAAAAGGCAGGGCAGGGGGGCACTGTAGATATTAACTCAGTAAAAAATGTGTACATTACAAAAATAGGCAGCCTACTTCCTCAGAAGCTACTTCATCATAGCAGATTAACACAGCTAACTACCTCTCTCTATTCATCAAATTGCTTGGGAGTAGGGAAAAATATGCTACTCACAAGGTTACCCAGGGGAAACCACCCAAAAAGAAAAGATGGATAGAAAGAACCATCAGGCATTTGTGAGGAACAAGAAACCAGAGTAAATTTTATTGATCAGTGTGCTAACTTATTTTTTTCTTCGAGAAACCTATATCCATTCATGTGCCTTTTGAAGACAACAGTGGTCACAAATCCCTTGAGCATTCTGATATTTTATATTAAGCATAATACAGAAGACAACGTTGTTCAGACCTTTTTTTCCCCCAAAAAGGTCCCTATTTTGTTTAGGCAATAGAAATTTAAAGAACATCAGATGCATACAGTCCTTTCTGGGAAATTTGAGACGTTAGCTGTGATGGCTTAAAAAAAACAAAAACAAAAAACAAAAAAAAAAACCCAAACCCAAACACACACACACACACACACACAATACAAAAACAAAAAACACAACAACCCCTCAACCGCATCAGAGACCTGTTTTATAATTTCATAGTACAAAAATATATGGTAATATGATATTACATCAGTCTGAATTTAGGAGACATAGGTGTATCTACATGTTCATTAATGTGCGTTAGGTAATGCACATTAAATCTAGTACCTCCATTTAGAGGTACTAGAAAAGGCACATCGCCTATTTTAATGCTATAAAAAAAACAACAAAAAACAAAAACAACATAGGCATTATAGATGCACTCTGGGAGGTGGGGGTGGCACCTTAATTAATACAGCTCTGAGAGCTGTGCTACTTAAAAGTACATCACATGTATCAGCATCCCCATGCTGAAAGAGGGCAGCAGGACGCTTTAAACTAAAGCTCGAACAAATTTTAGTTCAAAGCACCCTGCTGCCATTTTTAAAGTGCAGGGACACTGATACAAGTGACACTAGAATCTGCTGAAGTGGGGTAATTACCATATTCCAGCAGACACTATTAACTGAGTCTGCTCCAACACACTGTAATTACAGCGCATCCCAGCAGCCTCCCTGCATGTGTATAAGAGCTCATGGGTTTTTTTGTGACACTTTAATGCACATTAAAATAGGCTAGTGCACATTAAAGCACATGTGTAGATGTGCCCACAGAAAGGCATAATGTAGGCAAGATAGCTTTCTTCAAACCTGTTGCTCCCTCTGTATGATTTGCTAAATGAAACAGTCATAATAAATATTAAACAAGAAGCATTAAAGTTTTAAAATTTCTGCAAAGGATAGAAAATTCTTTCCATCAATGGTTTAAGTGTATGAACTCATAAAATTAAACTAATAGTGCTCTAACAAAGGAACTGCAAAGAAAACACTACAAAGACAAAATAAAGAACTAGAAAAAGTAGTTTGTATTTTGGGAAGTGAAATACCAGAGTTGGGCTTTTTTTTGTTTGTTTGTTTTAAATTACTAGAGTAATTTCTTTCTGATGTTTGGCAAATACGGCATTCCCTTAATCGATAACACTTTTGACAGTAAATGCATGGACTAAAGGATGAGCAAAACAAAAGAGCATTAGGCAAAACGTAGGCACCTTAATCCAAAACTACCACCACCTTGAAAATTTCTGCTCAGCTGCTATCCAGCTCCATAGATGTCTTGGTTTGACTTTAAAGTCCTTGCAAATGCATATAACCCTACGGGCCTGTGGCTCAGAACTGCCCCACTATTGATAGGGCTTGAATGCCTTGCACTCACCTCATGCCTACACTCAATCAGGAAAATAGCCATCCCTTTACCTAAGTCTGCCTACTGTTGTCAGTCTCAGAGCCTG